CAAACACATTTCAAACTGGAGAACGACAAGCTCACTGTTGATGAAGAGGACATTGAGTACACTCTTGGCGTTCCAAGAGGAGAAAAGAAGGTTGTTGAGGCCCCAAAATATGATGAACAGGGGACACCGGAGTACAGGGCTCTCTTGCAAAGCTGGAGGCAAAGGTGGAATATTAATCTTGGTTCCCCATTCACTACCAAGATGGGAGATGTCATAGTTCAAAGGGGAGATTATGGAGATGAATTTAAGAGAGACTTCATGGTCTTAACTGTTTCGTGCATGATGCGTGGATTTCAGACACGCTACTGCAACAACAGAATCATCAACTCCTTGATTAATGTTGATGAGATAAAGGAGTACAACTGGTGTAGCTACACCTACAACTCTCTGATCAAATCCATCGAGCAGTACAAGAAGAAAAGTACTAGCTTCTTTACTGGACCAATGACATTCATATTGGTAAGTTCTAGTTCCACTTATGAATCTTATGATATTCAGATTGTGAATTATATGTGTCAGATTATGAATTTTCCTCTATGTGATTATGAATTTTCCTCTATATGATTATGAATTTTCCTTTATGTCATTATGCATCTTCCTCTATGTGATTATGAATTTAAAGTATGTACTTATGAATTTTATGCTGTTTGGATTTTATGAGAATTATATGTGTCAGATTATGAATTTTCCTTTATCAGCATATGAATTTTCCTTTATGTGCTTATGAATTTTCCTCTATGTGATTATGAATTTACAGTATGTACTTATGAATTTTATGCTATTTAGATTTTATGAGAATTATATGTGTCAGATTATGAATTTTCCTTTATTTGATTATGAAAGTTCCTTTATGTAATTATGAATTTTCCTTGTTGTCATTATGAATGTTCTTTTAATGTTATGCAATAATGAATCTCATAATAGAAAGTTCATAATTGCATAACATAAAATCCATAATATGATAGTTGAATATAGTGTTCATATGGATTATGAATTTTCTATTATGGTATTATGAATTTTCTGTAATGTAATTATGAATTTTGTGTTAGGATATTATGAATTTATAGTTATGGAATTATGATTATAACTTTTTTATTTTACCTTTTTCTTGAACATTGTAGCTATTCTACTTTGATCGGGTCCAGTTCAAAGGAATGCGGGTTCAAAGAACATATCCAAGCATTACTGCATGGACAAATAAACTTGCAAGAGAAAGGGTTTCTGCTGAGAAAAGGTCGGGCGGATATGGTAAAGGGAAAGTTATCCCTCGTATTGCAAAGCCTACTGCTGATTGTATTGCTTCTACTTCAGCCCAACCAGTCCCAACCATCTCTGTGCCGCCATCCAGTGTTGACAGGGTCACGCAAGTTCTACAACGCCTTGCTGCTGATGTCTTGGAATTCGGTGAGGCTATGGCTGAAGTTGGAAAACAAAACGCCCCTGTGGATGTTATGAAGGCTGCATTTTCTGGGATTTCTACCATGATTGGCGTAGCAAGCACGATAGAAAGACCACCAACTCCAACCTCATCTCAACTTGACGACATCTTCTTTGGCCAAGAGTCTTTCACAAAGGTTGTTGATGCCTTGGTTGAAGCCTTCCAAAAGACCACTCGGCAAATGGAGTTTGACACTCCCTCGTTTGATTTAGAGATTTCTTATACCCCGGCGCCATTGGTTGACGAACCACAGGAGCAGGGCGCATTGGATGAAGATCAATTGGATGCCTTGTTCAGAACATTATGAAAGACACTCCTGGTGCTGCTGATGCTGCTACACTCGCTGCTACTCCTACTGCTACCCCTGCTGCAACCCCTGCTGCTACGCATGGTGCTATGTCTGTTTCTTCCCCTGCTGCTTTCCCTGCTGGTACACATGTTCCTAGCACTGCTGCTACCCCTGCTGCTTCATCTTCTGAAACCCATGCTGCTACCCCTGCTGCATCAAGTTCTGAAAGACGAGAAATAATTCCATTGATTGAGGTTCCATTCGCTAGAGATGTCCCTGGTGCTGTTGATACTTCTACGCCTGCTGCTACACTTCCTGCTACCCTCGATGATATTGATAGGTAAACTAATTAGAATATGAAATTGTGTTATGAACTTTCTTATATTATATTATGACTTTTCTTCTGAAAGATTATGAAGTTTCACATATGAGATTATGAGTTTTCTATTATGAGTATGAAATTACAGTTTTGATATTATGAACTTTCTGATATGCAATTATGTATTTTCTGTTCTGTATTTATGAATTTTCTGTACTGCAGTTATGAATTTTCTGAACTGAGATTGTGCAATTATGATGATATTAACTAGCTTCATGTGTTTACAGTGCATTTCTGGACAGTGAATCTGATGTCGAGGATGTCACCATACGAAAGAGACCAATCCGAAAATACAAAAACATCCCGCTAAATTTGAGGTCACCTTTCTGGACAAAGAATGTACCGTCTGACCATAATGCTAGTGTCACCGAGAGGGCCGTATCAAACTACGCCTTCATGGATGCTTCTACAAATCATCCAATAGAGTATGTTTGAATCTAACCATTTAAAAAACTTTTTATTTTCATGAATATTTCACATTTATAACCATGTATTAATTCATTTATGTATTTATCAAACTTTTTTGTTTATGTAGTGAAACTCTGTTTAACTTTGATGATTTCTCAATGACAAGAGGAGATTTCCACACCCTACGCAGCGGTGAAATTTTTAGCACATTCATCGATGTATGGGCGTTGAGGCTTACACTCCTCAACACAAAACGGGCATTGGGAAAGCCAAAGTGCATCTATTTTAGCACGTTGGTACATGTAAGTTAATACCAACAATTTTTACTCTGCTCACTTATGAATTTTCTGTTAAACCATTCTGTATTTTATGTCATGTAAATATGTATTTTATGTGTGTGATTATGAATTTTCTATTGTGAGTTTATGAAGTTACATTTTTTATATTATGAACTTTCTGATGTGAGATTATGTATTTTCTGTGTGAGATTATGAATTTTCCCATATGGCATTATGAATTTTCTATTGTGACTTATGAAATTACAATTTTGATATTATGAATTTTCTGTTCTGTAGTTATGTATTTTCTTTGTAATATTATGGATTTTATGTTATGATATTATGAACTATGTATGACCGCCATTACATATTGCACAACTTATCATTGATACGTATTTTTTCCCCTTAGCTTCAACTTGACCCAACTGAACAGTGGATGAAGAATCTTCCGCTTCAAAAGCGGAAGGAGAATTTCAATGAGCGGTTACAGTATGAAATTTCCAAATTTGGAAATCTTGACGTCAATGATGCTAATTTGGTAATTTATAATTACCCACGTTCAACATTTATTCATTAATGACATATTTCTTCTCTATTCTAACTACTTTTTCTTTTGATGTTAGATATTTTTCCCCGTGCTTCGACACGAACACTACTTCATTGTCTGCATCAACACCATCTCAAAAAGTGTTGAAATCATAGACAACAAGATGCTGCCTAAGGATGTTACTGAAGCTGACAAGTATGAAGATTGCCCTAGTCTACTGGTAACTTAGCCTTAAACTTGACCTTCCAAACATTTGTTATACATTTCCTATGAATCATTATCACACTAGTTTCATTTTTGTCCAGATGACTGCTTTGAGAGAGTACTTGACTGCAGAAAAATCACCCCTACTCCGTAAGATACAAAATCTTCCTGTATCACACTTGGCCATTCCTTGGAAGGAGCTTGACAATGTGATTGACTGTGGCATATATGTCATGCGACACATGGAGTCGTACAAGGGGAATGTTCAAGATTGGGACAGTGGATTTAAGATAGGCACCCGTGTAAATGTAAGAGTATAAGATATATTAATTTCAACTTAGATTTGTTTTTTTTTTTTTTTTTTTTGTTTTTTAACATCTTTTTTTTTTTTTGAAGGTTGACTTCCTTTGGGAACTTAGAGCTAAATACACGTCAAACATTATCACATGGGGTAGGAACACTGAAAGATTGCGAGTTATGAAGGCAGCAAAGGATCTCTCGAAGAAGAAATGAAACTATACCGCTTTTTGGTGTTTGAATATGTTGTGAACATGAAGCATTAATTTTCTCAATACTTCATTTTGAAATCTTCACTGTTGGTACCCTAGATTGAGAATCTCTCATTTTGTAATGTGCACCGATATTTTGCACCTGTGAATATACAATCTATTACTCTTAATTCAGATTACATATGGATCATGTAGATTTATGAATTTTCAACTACCATATTATGAATTTTCTATTATGCAATTATGAACTTTCTATTATGAGATTATGAATGTATACGTGTTAGCTATAACTGAAAATTCATTATTACATAACATTAAAATAACATTCATAATGACAACAAGGAAAATTCATAATCACATAAAGTAACATTCATAATCAAATAAAGGAACATTCATAATCTGACACATAATTCTCATAAAATATAAATAGCATAAAATTCATAAGCACATACTGTAAATTCATAATCACATATAGGAAAATTCATAATCACATAAAGGAAAATTCATAATCACATAAAGGAAGATTCATAATCTGAGACATAATTCTCGTAAACTCTAAATAGCATAAAATTCATAAGTACATACTGTAAATTCATAATCACATAGAGGAAAATTCATAATCACATAAAGGAAAGTTCATAAACTGGTAAAGGAAAATTCATAATCTGACACATAATTCACAGTCTAATATCATAAGATTCGTAAGTACATATTGTAAGTTCATAATGACATAAAGGAAAATCCATAATGACACAAAGGAAAATGCATAATCACATGAATGAAAATTCATAAACTGACACATAGTATTTTGCATAGTATTCATCACAACACTGCTAAACATATGAAGTTCTATTAACACAATCTCAATCTATAGCTACATCGTGGTCTACATTCTTATTAAAATGAACAAACTGTGAACCCCCAGTGCTTGGATGTACAAGATATCCATCACGAGCAATCTCTGAAATATTTTCCAAGACCAAATGATTGGACAGAGCCCTTTGTAATTGAAGCAAGCTTGTTTGCAGCACTCTTTCTCCCCCTTGCTGCATTGTACTTCTTCTCAATAACACTACTACTCCTTTTATTTCTCACACCTTTACTCCTCCGGCTTGAAGGGTCTTGGACAATACCACTTGACGAAGACACAGCACCCTCCTCAATATTCACATCCCCAATCTCAGCTTCAATGTTTTTCCTTGCATTCCCAACAGCTTCATCACAGAATTGTCTAGCAACACTGTTATCTTGGCTACAAACAATAAGCCTTTGAAATTTCCTACTAATCTCAACAGCCCAAATTGAAGAAGGGACACCACCATTATAAAACACGGATGCAATGTCCACATTTCTACCCTCAACAACCTTTTTAGTCCATCTTTTTAGAATGTATTTATCGGGAATACTGGAAACACAGTGCACATGAAGTATACGTAAGCAGTGGCAGCAAAGTATTCCCAATTCTGAAAACAGCTTGCAACTACAGCATATATCCAAATTGATTGGCTTAAAAGTTACTTCATGCCTTATGATATCTATGTCTGGTCGCCACACGTGATACTTGCACTTACAACCATCGTTCAACACCATTTCTTGATAACAAGAGCTACCTTTCATAAATTGTTCCTCGAACAAAAAATATATCTCAATTGTATAAACCTCTCTAGCATGTGAAAGGAGTTTCACATGATCCATCATCATGGCGGGTACTCCTTGAGAACACCGGAAATCCTCACCATTTTCCTTACTTCTCCATTCAGAAATAACACTCACAAAGGATGAATAAAAATCACATAAACCAGCAGTCTTGGACAACCTCCTAGAAATTGAATGATTTGTGCTTTCACTCCTTTGCGAAGATAAAATACCCCCGAAGAAATAATCCTTGTTGAACGCTGGACACCACTTCTCCCTACAGTCATAAAGCTTCTCTAGCCATGTATTCTTATGACAATTATATTTTGTAACCATCCTGAAAAAGTTAAAACACATGTTTACTAATCATATTCTGAAAATTCATAATCTCATATTAGAAAGTTCATAATCATATAACAGAAAATACATAATGACATAACAGAAAATACATAATTGTATACTTGCATTCATAATCTCATATTACACAGTTCATAATCATATAACAGAAAATACATAATGACATAACATAAAATCCAGAATTGTATAACTGTGAATTCATAATCTCATATTAGAAAATTCATAAATCATATAACAGAAAGTACATAATGACATAACAGAAAATACATAATGACATAACAGAAAATTCAGAATTATATAATGTAAATTCATAATAACATACCTTGTCCAGTAAACTTCAAACTCCGCTTCAGTCTCGGTGTATTTCAACACACAATTGAACATATCCAGAAAATCCTTATGATTCCTTAATGCCTTGATATGCTTCTTCGAATTCTCACCAATATGCCATATGCAAAGACGGTGGCGTGATGTAGGAAACACCATGGAAATGCCAGCAGCCATAGTTGAACATTGATCCGTCATGATAGTCTGTGGACACTTGCCATCCATGGATCTTAAAAACGCTCTAAACAACCACGCAAATGACTCTATCCTCTCATTCATCAAAAAACCACATCCAAACATTACATTCATGCAATGATGGTTCATCCCTACAAAAGGACCACAAATCATATCATATTTGTTAGTGCGATATGTTGTATCATGCACTAACAGATCACCAAACACCTCATAATCCCTTCTCATTTGACCATCCCTCCAAAAAAAACTACACAATCTTCCATCCAAATCAACTTCGAAATCAAAAAAGAAATCAGCCTCATTAGATTGCCTCCTCCTGAATATTTCAATCAAAGAATTGGAATCAGTTCCATCCAAACACTTCAAACTCACAGAAGCCATCGAATTGTAAGCATCGCGGTTGGTAAAGCCAACCAATGGAGAACCCCATGACTGATGTTTCAAAAACCTCATACCATCCGCCAATGCAACACCACTATTCTTCATGTCTTTTAAATATTCAAGCTGATTGTTTCCCACTCTTCTATGCGACCGGAGCAAATGACTCTTGCCAAATGAACATAACTCATGATTGTGCTCTTTCAAATGTTTTGTAACTGTCCACATCCCATCACCCCCACATCAAACTGAACAAATGCACCACAACCAGTCCTCATATCAATCTTTGAATAAAGCTTAACACCACTGTTTGGTTTCTGCTTATACCCAGCCTTAGCACAGAAGAATCTCTTCATCTGAATTGACTTAGTAGATGCCTTATAACGTTGTTGGCCTTTCCTCACACTAAAACCAACTCTGTATGCATATCCATTATATAACTCAAAAGCTTCGTCAACATTGCTTACTACAACACCAACCAAGTCTTCATCAACTGCAATTGCAACAAAAATATAACCACACCTATACCAACTACTAAAATATGAATGTGCAGTTCATTATAGATTTGAGAGAAATATATTCTTCATTTACGTAGAGGGGGTACGGGGAATGCCGAATAAATCCAGCCATGCTCTACATAAGAAGAACATATTTTCCATCAATAACAGATACACATAAACTCATAACATAAAATTCATAATCTCATATAAAAAATTCATAATCTCATATAGAAAATTCATAATAACATAACGGAAAATTCATAACCTCAAAAATGTAAATTCATAACGTGAACAGAGTATTAATACCAATCACAACATTCAATTTGCATATAATCACCATGAATCAGTACCTACACCTACCAGAAACAACATTCATGATACACAAAACTAATAAAAAGAACCTGGACTTGAAGATGAGCCATCAATGTCAATGTTTAACTCTGCTTGATCATTGCTTATTGAATCACCAACAAAGTCTTCATTCACTGAGTATATGCAAACAGTGTAACATACCAGTTAATATGTTATGAACATAGTACTATTACATTATGAATATTCATATCACATGCATGAACAGAGTATCAAAATTCATAATTGCGTAACAGAAAATACATAATCTCATATTGTAAAATTCATAACAGAGACATGGTACTAATACACAATTACAACATTATGAACATTCAAACTGCATAGATACTGAACAAATACCAATAAAAATAACTAAATCTTCAACAATCCATGATCTCATAAATCAAACGAAATCAAACGCATAAAATCGAACGCAACCTGGAATCGCAGAAATCATATCGGTGGAATCTTCTCCTCGAACCGTCGTCTCCTCCATCGCGAATAGGAAAGAATCGCGAATGTCGGATCATAACTGCCTTCAGAGAATTGCGAATAGGAAAGAATCAAACGCAAAGAGTTGTCGGATCAGAATTGCCTTCCTAACGCCGTTAATAGAACAGTGTTTTTTTTTTTTTTAAAGACGCCAAAAACGACGTCGTTTGGAAGCGTGTTCACCAAGCATGGTGAACACGTTTCCACGGCATAATTTGCGATCACTACAATGTCCGATAGTCATGCTAGTCATGTGATAAATTTGAGACAATTCAATGACAAATATTATAGTTATTTGTTTATAGATCCAAAATCTTTCTATATAATAAATATTTTCTTAGTTTAAATAAGTTTATTTTACCAAGACTATGTGATTTAATGGTACTTGGGTTGGACTTCCATTTGGAAGGTTACGAGTTTAAGCCTTAGTGGAGGCGTACATGTAATTATTTTTAGTTAAAGATCTTTGCTCATTGCTACCAATTCAACTGCCATAACTTATAAAATGAGAATTAAAAGTTTTTTTAAAAAAAAAATGCTAAAACTTGTAAGACCAAAGGTGATAATTCTTGTTTCGATGTAAAAATAAAAGAAAATACAAGTTGTTCCAAAGATGAATTAGTTCCATCTTTAGTAAATTGATAAACCTTCCTATTTTGTCTTTATCAAAGCCTCTGACCAAAAGTGATTGACCATGGAGTCTGAAACTAAGTCTGAGAAAAATCACTTCTAGGACTTTCTTCTCTGGCCCTCACTGTAGATTTTATCATGTCTGCTCTCCTCCTTTTATTGCATGGATTAGTATGTGAAGAATCTGATGAACTTTCATCAGCTTCCAACTCCCAATTTGGACCCAAACTTGCAGCCAAATCTTGGATCAGTTCATAACACTTCATTACACTTCCCTGCAAATCCATAAATTAGCTTGGTTCTAGAGTGTTATCTTTGTGTACATCACTTCATATAATACTTAATACCTGAGGGTGTGCACTGGGTAAATCTCACCTTGTAACCACAAGGAGGTAAACCTTACCATCCTAAGTTACACAATCACTTACACATAACTAACTGGTTCAAACAAAAAGACGAATATATATATATATATATATATATATATATATATATATATATATATATATATATATATATATATATGTATATATATATATATATAATACTTCTTTTTATGAATATATACCTTTAGGGCGTCTTGTGTGAAACAAGAAGAGAGTGCATTATCAAGGTCTATTGTTGATTGCATTTCTCTTGAAACAAACAGGGCTACTACTGCAGCAACTTCAGATGGCCTGAATTCTAAACACTCAATACCTGCATTAAAATTTTCCACCTAAATAAAAGAAATTCGGGCCAAAATAATAGTACACTAAAACAAATCAATTCACATCAGTTTGACGTGGACCGACCCTGACTAATTCAAGTGGCAAATTAAGCTGTGAGCACGTGTCCACCATGCACATGGTGCGCACGCATAGGCGGACCCACAGTGGGGCAGTGGGGTCAGCTGCCCCCTCAACTCTTTCTACTAATATATATGTGTTAGTCATAAAAGTGATCAATGGCTTAATTGGTTGAGTCTTTAATATAGTAATGAAGTGTTATAGGTTTGAAACCCATCTAAAGCATTTTTATATGTTTTAGCTTCTTATCTTTATTTTAGCTCTTCTCACCCTTCAATAAATTAAATGTATTTTTTTAATTCTATTTTTTTTGCATGTATATTTTAGCTTCTTTTTCTTTATTTCAGCTCTTCTCACCAATCAATAAATTAAATATTTTTTAAGTCTTTTTTTTTTTTTTGTGAATCATTTAGTTAATGTAGTCAACAAGTTTATATTATACTTCATCGTATTCAAATTAATTTAGAATAATTTATAGTTGATCTAATTAAAAGAAAATTAAAATAAGTATTTATGAATATAATGTCTTTTCTATTCAAATTATTTTATCTAATCGATTATGTTTTATATTTTGTCATAAATATTTTTATAACATTTTGGTACGGAATACCCCGACTGACATGCCTTCATCCTTTTGTTCTTATTTGTGCAGGTTACAGGTCGGATTTCTTAGAAGAACCCGGTCGGTTCCCGACCGGGAATCACTTGACCGGCGTCGTCGACCACCAAGCGGTAGCCCTTAAGCGAGAAAGCTGAGAAGAGACACGTGGCAACGCTACGTGCTAACAGGCAGGGCACCCGGGAGGACGACACGTGGTTGCTACGTGGGCGACATGCCGGACGGCCGGACTTGTGTCTCAGGCCTCGCGGCTATAAATACCCACGGCTGCAGCAGTGTGGGGGACTTTTGGACGATCGATAGGTTGTTATCAGAGCATCCCGACCGTAGTCAGTCGGTACTCGGAACAGCCATTTAGATTGTACTTAGGGCCTTCACCTTGATCAATAAAAGACGTTTATTTGCTTTAATTGGTCTTGAGTTAGTTTATTTACCGCTTACGTGGCAATTAACACTATCATTTTGGCGCCGTCTGTGGGGACCGGTACAAGCAAGCTATCGTTTGACAAGCACCGATTCTGCTTTTCACTATGTATCCATTCGCGTACAACTTTTTCGGCGACGATCAAGCGGATGCGGCAAGCTCATCCGACCATCAGCCAACCCAATATCAAGGTCAGACAGTCAACCTTAATCTCAACCTCTCACCACCCCATCCAGCAACTCAGTATCTGGCCTCCTAACAGCCGGTCAACTATATTCAGCCGGGATATCCAACACCCGGTCAGCAGCCCCAGTTCCCTGGGCAGTATCCTTACCCGGTCCCACCTCCTCCATACGGATACTGGCCCGGTCAGCCAATGTTCTACACACCACCGGCTGGCTATCCCCCCTACACGCCTGCGTACACGGCTCCAGCCGCCGCCCCTCCGATTTACCCGACTGCTCAAGTAGAGCCGAAGCATCAGCCCACTTCCCGGGCTCGACACTCGGCTCCATTCGCGGTTGGGGTCGGTGGGTGCTGAAGCGATAGAGGTACCACCGCAGGCTCCACAAGTACAACCGGAGGTTCAGGCCCAAGCGGAGGACCCCGAAGAAATCAACCGGGCGGTTAATTTTAAAGGCCTCCGACCGCCGATGCGACAACAATTGGGACCACAAGACCCGAGCCAGCACTCGCGAGATGTACAGATGCAGGAGGCCAGCCAGGAGGTTTCATCCGGGCATAGTGGGTCGAGATCTCACCGTCGACGACGCGCTCGGAAAACAACCCAGGCCCAGGCGGCCGAGCTCAACGAGACCCGAGGATTGCTCCATAACCTCCAGGCGGAATTCGCTCGATTCCGGAACGAGCACGCTGTGAGGCCCCCGGTCGACCAATCAACCCTGTTGAGGACACCCTTTACAGCGGAGATAATGGCCCAGCCATACCCGCTCGACCTGCAGGTCCCGTGGAATAAAGGTTACGATGGCCGTACGGACCCTGAGGTCCACGTCAACGACTATTACGGCAATATGATGATGATGGGCGTGTCAGACGCCGTGATGTGTAGAGCTTTTTACTCCATGCTTTCTGGTCGAGCGGCGGAGTGGTTCCGAACTTTGCAGCCGGGCTCTATTTCTGATTTTAACGCCCTGGCGATCAAGTTCATGCCAAAGTTCATCACCTCCAAGGTGGTGAGGAAGCCCTACATGTATTTGGAAAAGGCCAAGTAGCTTGAAGGGGAGAGCTTGACCGACTTCCTTGTAAAGTGGAAGGCCGCGGTCGGGGTGGTCGAGCCAATGGATGAC